CGGTGTCGTCGGTGTTGCAAGCTCGCTGATCGCATACACGCGATAGGAAAGTGATATCTAAAAACAACCTGTTAGGACTAGACTTTAACTCAGGAGACCATTAGAAAGTCGAATGTGGTTAAATTGTCCGGTCCTAGAAAATCGTGTTACATAATGTTGTTAGTTGTTAACCTAGTGGTGCATGATCTAGCAAAACAAACTTTTGATGAATGCGTACAGATGATAATCGATGTTTCACCTGTTTCGATGATTGAATTGGATAATCTTAGAGTCACACTTTCTGCTTAAACCAAATCAGCCTTCATGATTTTATCTCCGCAACTCTTATGATAATTGTTAAGTCCCATTAAAAAAGTGACTTAAAAGTGACCAATTAAGTCACTTTTTTAATTGATGGTCACTAATTCACTATTTTTATTCCATAAAACTGCTATCAGCCCTGATCAGTCATCTTTTAATCCGTCCCAACCGAACTCTATTATATTTTAAAGCGGTTCATTGCACCTCGCTTCCACCTGATGACACAACCCGATCAAGGCCAGAAAAGACACAACACTTTAGGCTACTGTGTAACATATCGTCACCATCCGGATTACCCGATATATATACAAGCGCACAAACAATAGTAATTCACGTCCCTTCCTTTTGGGTGGGGAACCAGTGCCGGACAATAACCAGTAACTTCCCGCACTTTGCACTATAAATCCCGATACATACTTGTATCGGACACTATCCAATGTATCAATCCATTATGTGTGGCTTCAATCGACGCCGACGCTGACGTTAACTGCGTTAACGTCATTAAGAACCCTGCGTACCATCTTGCCCATGGGTACTAATAATTGGAAAATTTTAATTTTATTTGAACTTTTTCGAGGTTAACAAATTTGTATATAAAGTCAAACATAAGGATTAGTAATTTTCTTTTAATTCCACTATCTTTTTTCCCTGATTTATTTTCCGTCGATCTAGTTTCCCTTACTGAGTACCGACGCCAGGGAGGCAGCTCCCACACCTGGACCCTACCTATCGACCCATCTACTCATGGACCGGGGCCCAACGGCTTTACTTCCCTTCTGAAGGAAGGTGTGACCAGAGATTTTATGCCTCAGAAAATCTCGACGGCGCCGACAGGGATTGAACCCAGGCCTTTTGGGGTGAGAGACAATCACGCTTACCACTAGACCACCGGCGCCGCTTATTCCACTATCTTATTTGCTTATCCTTGACAGTCAAGTATTAGTACAAGACACTAAAGAAGTCTGCACATTGTAGACGAAACACGCGTATCTGTCAAGGATAAGCAATAAGGTAGTGAAATTAAATTTAAATTACTTATCCTTACTCTTTCTTTATACAGTTATTCATCAGAATTTTGTACAATTGTTCATGAAGCATAGGATTATAAGCCAAGCCTTGAAAGTTCTATAAGATTATTTTCTGGTGAAAATAGTGGAATTTTATGCGAGTTTCGTTCGGGTGGCTATCTTCACCCACATTACCCTACCTAATTGGAAATATTTAATCAACAGCTACATAACTGGTCATTGGCTTCTAACTTAACAAGATGTTTTCTAGTTTTCCATAAAGAATCGGGGTCATATGAGTACCCCTCATATTTCAAAAATTGTCTACAGAAATGTTTTAATTGTGTATAATTTCTTTTAAAAATATTACTTTAAGGAGCCGTATTCTGCACCGCAATTGAAGTGAGCTGACTAGTTGTCTCTAGTGAGGTGATAATAGTCACTTAATTTAGGCCTCAAAATCACGTTTGGAAGCAGCATAAATCCCTCCCCTTGGCTAGTTTTTGCACCTTGCTGTTGGTGGGCGGGCTTAATTTCATGCTTTATAGTAGAGTGTTGGAGACAGTAGGTTTATGGCTGGCGTTGCTGGCTCATGCCGAGATAGAATGGCGCCATGGACAGGCAATGGGGATTACTAAGCTTCCCTCTCTGATAAACCACTGCATGAGAGAACCAAAGATCTAGTCTAGCAGTGATAGTATCACACTGGTTACTCCTTTGTTTGAGAGCCGCGTCGTAGTACGCTTACGTATAGGCACTGACGTTAGGTGTGATACTGGCGGGTTTTGCCGCAAATCACTCTTATTTTATTTATTTTTACGCAGATAGATTTATTTGGGTTTGCAAGGGAATTATACTGTTGAAATATTTCAGAAAGTGCCCAACGGTGCTCCTTCTATTTGCGTGACAAGCTTTCATTGTTGTTTTCATTGAGGTATTACTCAGGGAACAATGTTAAACACCATTTTGGTACATGGTATTGTAACTAATCTTATATGTGCTTCATTTTGATTTGGGATAAGTGTTTGAACTATGGCTCGGAATTTCCACTGTGGTGTGCTTCTATTGTGACATACCCATATGTATTTTTGTGGTGCGACATAGTGGAAACGTGAGAGCGTAATTGGAACATATACCTTATATAATTTAAATATCAGCTAGGAAACTAACTTCAAAATGAAGCATTTTAGTCACATGAAGGTGTTACCTGGGTCGAACTAAGATATAATAAATAGGTATAGGCTTAAATCAAAAGTACTTGAAACACGTTTAATTTTAGATTACAAGCACAATTGCAGGTACTTAATAAAGCATGGGTTATGATTGATTAGGTGAATTAGAGCTTTTAATAGTTTATTAAATTAGACTAATGAGATATCATAATCATCAAATGAACTTAAATAAGAAACTTCAGAAAGTCTAATGACATTAAGTAGATTAACAAAAGAATTAGGATGCGGGTGGTCCGCTTAGGGAGGCAACTAACCTTTAAAGTTGTAGAATAAATCTTCTTATTTAGTCTTAAACTTTAATAAGAAATTTGTAAACAGCAGTCAATGTTAATCTATGAACTAAACCCTACGTGACTGTAAAATCGATCTTTCCTTATGTGGTATTGATGCATGTTTAACTTTTCGCGGCTGTCGGAATCAACGCGCCTACGTCTACGGAGGTAACGCAGAAGTAACCCAAAAGTTTTTTGAGCTTCTGTAGTATAGAATTTGTTCGGTACGGTCGCGAAATCTTGAAATGATTGATAGTGCGGTAAAATAACTAAATTGAAACAAAGCTTAACAGTAAAATAAGTAGAATATTTAGGGAGGAAACCAAAATTAATCAACTTGCCAACATAGGCTATCTCATTTATTTTGGTGGCACTCTTTTAGTGATAATAAGCTGTTTTTTCTCTACGGTTGTTTCGCGTGGCGTTCTCAATTTGCGCGATTTTCGTATCTTACGTAATTTAGATGAGCTTACGCAGAAGTGATACGCAATTCGGTAGAGCTTGTCAAACGCTTTTGAGCTTATGTAGTATAGAATTTGTTCGGTGTGGTCGCGAAATCTTGAAATGATTGATACGTTCTTTAAATTAACTAATTTGCTACAAAGCTCAGTAGTAAATAAGTAGAATATCTTGGGAGAAAACCAAAATTAATCAACTTGCCAACATAGGCTATCAACGGCGCCAGTGGTGTAGTGGTAAGCGTGATTACCTCTCACCCCAGCAGGCCTGGGTTCAATCCCAGTCGGCGCCGCCGGGATGTTCTGAGGCATAACATCTCTGATCACGCCTTCCTTCGGATGGGAAGTAAAGCCGTTGGTCCCCGGTTCATGAGTTGATTGGTCGATAGGTAGGGTCCAGGTGTGGGAGCTGCCTTCCTGGCACGTCGGTAGCATTGGTGCTCAGCACGGAAAACAAGATCGACGGAAAAAACAAACCAAAGGAAAAAAAAAAAAAAAAAAAACATAGGCTATCACATTTATTTTGGTGGCACTCTTTAGGCTAGTCCTTCTGCTGTATTGTCAAAGATAGAAGCAAAATTTATTCAAATGGGTCAAGTTTTGAAAACTAAGTTGTCATGCAGCTCCAGCTTGATACCCAATAAAAAAAAAAAGAATCACGTTTTGAAGCAGCATAAATAATTGTTTATTTTTTTCATTTGTCGCACAGATTGATAGATTTTAACGTTTTTAAACCCGTAGTGCAAATCTAATTTAATTTAAATGCTTAAATAATTTGTTATTTAAGCATTTAAAATCTTTTCTCCCATACCTCACCGTTAAGGCATTGTGAAACCATCATCATGTTTTTAGTTTTTATATTCACCGCGGGGGTCAACTGTAGATGGCGAATAGTGCAGAGATGATAGGCAGGTATCATAGTGAATGAAATGTTTATTTAGAGATTCATAGTATTTTTATGTTACGTGAAGTTTACCATTTTCAGAGTTGGTTGGAAATGTTATCGAACATGAAGCTTTGGTGTGATAATTTATAAGCTAGAGTAAAGAATGGTCTGAAGAGGGTAGGTAGATAGTTCCGCTACAGTACGACAGTAAGAAAATTGAATAGAAGTTGAAAATGAGCGAAGGGCCATTAATGCGACAGTACTAGTCAAACGCACATTTATTTACCTAACTCGTGCAATGTACGAGGAGATTTGCATTAATGGCCATTCGCTCATTTTCAACTTCTATTCAATTTTCATACTGCCGTACTCTAGCGGAACTATCTACCTACCGTCTTCAGACCATTCTCTAAACAGTGATGGAAAAGTTCCCGAAAACTCACTATGACTCGCGAACTTTTCCCTTGGAGAGCTTCGTGAAATATCGCGAACTTTTCCAACACTGTCTCTAACTAATAAATTATCACACTAAAGCTTCATGTTTATTTAGAATTAATTATGAACTTTTCCAGTAATTTGGAGAAAAACAATTACCGGTGAATGGAGGTCAACCGATAAACGGTACATAATTCCGCAAAAATAAATAAAATAATGTCTTACTGAAAGTCACCCTCATATCAAATGCGTTACTAACATTTTTATCTTGACCCAGTGCAACTGTTCATAAAATGGAGATTTCTTTTGACTGTTTATTTACTTATGCTTTGAAGATTCTGTGCCTAAACTATCTCAATAATAAATAAAATATACTAAACAGTTTTTTTAAATGATCGGCTTTTTTACAGAAACCAAACGCAACAGTCTTAGTATAAGAAGAATACTATAAAATATTCATAACCAATACCAAAAAGATGGATGCCAAAGCAGCTAATACAGCACCTACGACATATTCTTCGACGCCGCCTTACTCGAAGGGGGCTCGAACGTCGCACCAGTATTTTAGCCTTAGATGGAATAATTACCAATCTAATATGACGTCAGTTTTTCACGAACTCTTGGAGACGCAGTCCTTCGTTGACGTCACACTTGCATGTGAATATAATTCACTGAAGGCACATAAGGTTTGATATGAGTTTGGTAGTGTAATTTATATACATTTTATGTTATCAAATCGTACTCTTTTAGGTGGTGCTTTCGGCATGTTCAGCATATTTTCAAAAAATTCTACTAGACAATCCTTGTAAGCATCCAACCATTATTCTACCATCAGATATATGCTTCTCCGATTTACAATTCATCATAGAATTCGTGTATCGGGGAGAAATCGATGTATCGGAAGCTGAATTACAGGTAAGTTTAATTGTATAATCTATAAGATTTTTTATTGTATGAACAATGTAGTTTTAGTCGGTGGTATCGTAAAAGGATGATAGTTTATTACTATGAAACGATTAAATAACCGCACTTATTCCCGTTTTCGAACGAAATGGAGAAGCGTATATAAATACCGACTAGCATTTCATGATCCGTAGACTAAATTCAACAAGTACTATGCAACCTTTATCTTGTGTGCTAGCTATGAATTTAAATATGCTACAACCTAAATGTGTCTTTATTTTAATTACATTAAAACAAACAAAAAATGTATTCCCGAAAACTTTACCATGCTTTTCCTGTAATTTTAAGACTAATAATGAAATATTTCATCGGGGCAATTTTTCATGCAACATATGAGTTAATTTGAGGGTTTATTTCTATGGGACACTTTTCTCTCAGTTAAATATCAAATATATTTAAATTTTTCCGTTGAAAAATTGAACCATTATGTGTGTGACGGGGCACCCAGCACCCCTTTGAATAACACGGTGTAAAAAAATTAAAAACAAAAAAAAAATCCTGACGCCCATAAGAGTAATAGTAAATGACAGGAAAATTCCTGATGGAGATGGTTTTGGGAATGCCGATTTTGTTGTTGTTTTAAAGGACTTTTCCCCGAATGTAACTTTTCCCGAAATACAATTCTCCGAATGGAACAGTTCCCCGAAAATAATTTCGCCGAATGTACCATTTCCCCGAATCTGCGAATCTTCGCTGGTTAACTACTTGTATCGAACAATACCACAATAAGCATATCAATGTGTGTCGAATAAATACAATAGTTTGGCTTTCGTTAAAACAAAATGTAAAGGTCAAGCTCCTGAAATCGGTGTAATCCTATTTCAGGAGCTTTTGACCTTTACCTGTAGTGTTAACGAAAGTCACACACATTTATTTCTTCGTGCTCAATACAATTTTAGATTCGGCCTATAAGGAATCGCCATGTGACTAGTAAGTATGTCATGGTGACGCATGATATCTTTTCTTTGTATGGAGTTTTTTTTAACGTTCGTACCTATCCAACACACACACACACATTGTATGCAATTAGCTCCATGGATCATACCAAATTATACGTCAAAGAATGAACAAGATAAAAATTCTTGCAACAAACAAAATTTTCCCTTCAAAATTTTCGAGCCGTGATACAAAGAAAGGAAAATGATATCCCTTTGATAAAACTAATTAGATACCCTAAAACAATACCATAAACGAATGCTAACCCAAATGATCAAATCATTCCATAAATGGTTTGGATGATACCCCAAACACGTCGTCAAGCAAAATAACCATACAAAACTTATTAGGGTAGTTATTATGCGATACGTTAAGGAACGAGCTGTGATACAAAGAAGGGAAAATTCTTGAAAACAAACATTTTTCTTCTTTGTATAAGGGGTGATGTACAAATTATGTCACGCCCTAAGGGAGGAGGGACGTGTAAAAATCTGTGATTGGTTACTTTTGCCTCAATTTCGCTTGACATAATTAATGTATGGCCCCTAACAGCTCGTTTTTTATTTGATTACGATTAGGTAGGGTTAATTACCCCATTTCCGGCCTATTAAGCACAACCCGCACTTAGTCTTCCTTAATCTAGCGCAGTTTAGCACCAAAAGGAATGTTATTATTACTGATGGCTTCCAAATTTATTTACCTTTCCGTACGTACCGTATGATTTGATAAAGAGAAACCAACCTTTGAGATATTGTCAAAAGTCTAACACTGCTTCTTGACGCCAAACTCGGCCTACGGATTCTAATCTCGGCCTAACGCTTTGAAACGCCATTGAACCGCCAATGAATTCACATCGGCCTAGCGAATGAAGATAAAACGTGATTCGGTCGGAGCGCTTCGTTTTGTTTCTGGGAATAATGGGTGCAAACCTTCATATCACGCGTTCTCATTGACTTCGTTCCGTAGCTTATAAACTAAAGTATCGTACCAAATGCACAATTGACTTGTTAACTCTGATATCAAGGATTTATTTGAAGTTTTCTGCTCGATAGGCCCAAAATGATAAACAAGTAAGATATTTATTCTTAAAAACGTTAAAGAACGAGCTGTCATACAAGGAAGGAAAATTTTTGTTGGTTCCAAGAACTTTTCCTCCTTTTTATCTTAGTTCATTCTTTGACGTATAATTTGGTATGTTCCATGGAGCTAATTGCATACAATGTATGTAACGTTAAAAAAAAACTCCATACTAATAAATAAAATATACGTCCCCATGACATAAATACTTTAGCCACTTGGCGACTCCTTATAGGCCGAACCCAAAATTGTATGGAGCACGAAGAAAACACCATACACCGATTTCATAAGTATTTGACCTTTACATGTAGTTTTAACGAAAGTCAAACTATTGTCTTAATTTGACACACATTGATATGTGTATTGTGGTATTGTTCGATACAAGTAGACCAATTCCACGCCAAATCGGTCAGTCACCAAACTTGACTATTTTCGATCTGGATGATACTTGGCACATATTTTCAGTATGATAGACCAAGTATTTTCCGCAGGAGAGGAGACCCTTATGACTCAAGGGTAATTTTTGAAAAGGGCCTATGTGTTTTTGCTCACATACTTAAAAAAATGTAGTTCGAAAACAGTTGGTTGCAGAAAAAAAATTACTAAGAAGGAGTTGTAGGAAACTAATAAGGCTTTATAAAAAAAATATACACGGAATTTTTTTTTTTCGTTTTTTTTCAAAAAAAAAATTAAAAATAAACCTCAAAATTCAAATAACAAAAAAAACGAATTTTTGATTTTTTTTTATATGTTTTTAATAAAAACTTAAATAGAAAGCAGAAGTTTTGAAAATAACTCCAGGATGGACAAACTTTTAATAAAAAAGTTTTTTTAAGAGCAACTTTTAAGGCATTTTTGAAACTTTCATTTTTTACGGCAAAATGTTCAGTTTGATGTCAGTATATGATTATAAAAATCATTTCAAACGATAGTGCTCACTTCCTAAATGTAACCGTTTTCGAAATATTTCAAATTTACTTTCATCATAATCAATTTTTTGTAGAAAATACGCCCTTTTCGTAAGTTATACGTGATTGTCCATCAAATATGATAAGTTTTGCAAGTTTACCTTCAACTTACCCTTTCACCAATAGACTATTGGAAAATTGGTTTTAAATTTATAAGATAAATAAGATAAATAAATGAAATACGCATGCGTTTTTATTTGCATCTTATTTGTTTTTATTTGCATCATATTTGTTTTTATTTGATGAACTATTGATTGGCATGTTTTTATATGTTATGAACGGTGCGTTCTTCGTCATTCGAAAATAGTTTCGCTGATATTTTATTTTCGGAAATCGGAACAATACAGTGATATTTTCTTGTACCTGGGATCGTTTTGGCCTTTTCAAAAATGCTTTTCCATTCGTATTCCTTTTGTAACACAAAACAAAATGACATTTTTTTTCAATAATCATTACTCTTTTGGTTAGCCCATGCATATAACTCTGCTGCACTTGTGATTGGATGTTCGTGTTCTACAGCCACACTTGCGTTCCTTGCCATTCGTTTTAATGTGCCACCAATCGCGTCACATGGTCCCTTGCCATGCGAAGTTGCAAAAAAGTGCCATTCAACATCAGTATTGTACTTCGTTTTAAATTTACAAAGACTTGCAAAATTTTTGCAATTTTTATATTGGGATGCAGCTCCATCAGACATAAACATCGCTTTTTTACTTGTATTTTTGTTTGCAAAAACGTCAGTAATTTTGTAATAAATACTTGCACCGAAATTGTATCGTGTTTTAAAACTTCAGAGATTACGATCAAACTTGCCATTCTAATTATACCTGATTCTGAATAATAAATGCAAAAGGATGAAAAGTAGCTTGTTGATTATTCCAGTAACTACTTTGGGCAGCATCTTGAAGAACAAATGAATAATTTCAAATTATGACAACTTCTCGATTTTTAAAAGTATTTTTTGTATTTCTCAAGAAACTAGACTGCTGAGTTTTAATATAATCATGGGATACCAGTTTTTCCAACTTTTCGCAAAAATAAGGAACAAATCCATCTACTGGTTTTACAAGTTTCTCTAAACTACATCGATCAGTTGAAACCCATTGTTCAAAACATATTTCAGACATACCCTGTTCCTCGAATTTTTCTGAAAAACTTCTTTCAAAATCTGAGAGACCTGGACAACGTTCGCATTCGCGGATATAACAATGTTTAGTTCTGGATGATGAGCTGCATAATATTTCTTCAAAATAATGGTTGAAATCTTTTTCGAATGAATATTTTCTAAGACAATGAAGCATTAAATTAATATTTTCATGGATGGTACAAACACAAATATTGTGAGAACCTGAACTACCAAGTAATTTGCAATGCTTTGGTTTTAGTGCTGCAAATGAACTAAATCCAATGCTATTTTTACTAACTTCTTGAAATTTAATAAAAGCTTCTCGCAATGTACAAACTAAAAGTCGCTTTTGAATATGAATCTTCTTACCTTCCTTCTTCACTGAAACGTAATCATTTAGTCCTGGCGTGGCTCTGCTTATCTGGTCGCTTTCGAAGAACTGCAATACCTCGTTTTTAATTTCGGGATCCAAACCGTGTCCTAACCTTTCGTTGGGGATGGCCAATACTCCTTTCCCGTTTGCCAAGCATCGAGCTTGCAATACAATGTATTTATTTTTTTTCAAACTCGTCCATTACCGTTTGCGTTGACCAAGATTTCGGCAAAATCGTCAGAATCCTTATTTGATCGTCTTTCGATGAACCTAGATCAGCAAATCTCTCCTTCAGTTGTCCGATCATCTCATTGTGTTCCGCAGCTTTCAATTTTAGTTGCTGGTGGTCAACACTCACACACTCATCACGAAACGGTTGCTTTCCAAAGTCGACGACGCATCGACCGAAAGAACTGCTGATGAAGAACAATGAGGAGGACCACACAATGGTTGCTGTCGAGAAAACAGACAA